AAAAGAAAGAAAGAAAGTGTTCATAGCTGCACCTCTGAGACTGATCACATCTACCTCCCCAAATACAATATCAAGCAGAAATACCTGAGCAAGCTCAAAAAGTGACTATAACTATATTACCACAGTTCCTCCCTGTTTCTTAGCAGGACTAATCAGCCCAGACAGAATGCTATTTAATGCTGTTATACACTGAACATACTGCATGTGCCCCCCACCCTCTGCCACAGCTACCCCTGGGAGGAGCATGGCCAGGCCAGGCCTGCATAGTGTGGGGGGCTTCCTTCTCCCCCCACACACATGAATTTGGACAGCAACAGAGACTGCTGCACCTGGAACTGGGGCAGGGAGGGACAAAACAGAGACCCCTGCCATGTGGTCCTGGACGAGCTACCCTGACTGGGGTCTTGGGGGCAGCTGGGCTGGGCCTGCAAGACAGGGAATTCCATTTCCCACCACCTCAGCTCTGGGCATGGCAGCCTCTGCCGTTTTCAAGACGCTCACACAGGGGTAGGGGGAAAGGGAGCCTTGCACCCCACTGCCATGCAGGCCTGGCCCAGATCCTCCTGAAGGCCCCAGCAGGGGTAGCTGAGGGGGGCATGCACAGCAGGAGGAACTCTATCCCTCCCCACCAGCCACTGCTGACAGTTGCCAGCTGGTGGGGCGGTGAAGGTGGAGAGAGGGGCAGTATGGCAGCCTCCTGGGAGGCTGCTGGAGTGCCCCTGCCTGCCAGTCAGGGCCGATGCAGGCAAGCTCTGAGCCCCCTGCCCCAACCCAACAGGTGAGCACCTGTTGGGTTCAATGGTACTCCAACTCATGGCACATTATATACAGCACCATCAGTGACAGTGTCTCCTCTATAGACTGCCTGCATTTATGTACCCACCCTAAGTGATTTATATTGTGCCTAAGATTTTTCAGAGTATGATAAAAGTGCACTGGTGTCAAGAAAAGGCAAATGTATTAACTGTGTAGGGGGAGGGAAGAGAAATACATTAAATTTCTTCAATTTCACAGTGATCCAGCCTTGAACAGAAAAAAAGATTCATTTTTTCAACCAAATTCGCCTAACGAAGTTAAGATACAATATAACCACATAACATGGTTTTTGAATGCATTAGCCTGCATTTTAACTAGACTTTTCCCATCAGATTAATCTAACTTGTTTAAAGTAATAAGATTGAAAAACACATCAGTCAAGACATTCCTTAAAACAGGATAATAATTTGGGATGTGAGAATCATATTGGTAAACACCTCTAGTCATGATAGAAGAAAGGAGCTTGGCCTCATCTATCTGGAGTCATTTACTTTTTTACTCAAAAAGCAGCAAGAAAAGAAAGCAATAAAAAACCAAACAAACAACCCCCTGACCCCCACAAAACCTTGGTTCTAAAGAATTTACTTTTATCACCACTTACCATCAAACTCTGCAAGTCTCCTGATATCTGCTCCAAGTTCTGAAGTAACTGATAAAGCCTGACGTACTTTTAGGTTAGTCTCACTGTAAAATAAAAGACAACCTTTTATATAGAAATACTTTCTGAAATCCCCTCTCATTGTAACTTACCCTTCATCCCCAAGATCCAATGCTCAGTACTAAATATCTAATTTTGTAGCCTGGGATAGATGTTCAGACAGCTCCTTTTAATGTCATTATACCTGAATATTTTTGCAACTGACTTTAAAATTGGAAAGGATCTTTATTTTTTAAGTGCTGGTATCAACAACTGCACAACTATAGTTTGTTTCTTCAACAGAGGACATAATAGGATTTAGTCAGAGGCTATCTTATATCATACAAAAATTACCAAATACAATAGAAATAATAAAATAGTTGCAAGCTGAAAGGAGGTTAAACACCATGTTAAATTCAGTTGCTTTTAAACGATAAAAATGTGAGGCACTCTAGAAATGGCCTGTTTCAGTGTCCCACATATGTCAAATAAAGGGGTCTGGAAGTTTGGATATATCCTCAAAAGCTGTTTTTTAGCGAAGAAAAAATATTTTCTTTAAGGGCACTTAGACACGTGCCTGACACCTACTCCAATGCATTCCAATTAGAACACATTGGAGCAGACTCAATTAATCTTCAGTTTATTGCTAGAGAAAAGCTCCTGGGCAGATGTCTGCATGTATGCCTGGACCACAGCACACTGAGCCAAGCTGCAACAGCCCCGGCTGGCAAGGGACCCGGGAGGTCTCCCTGTCAGGCTATGGCTGCTGCAACCGGGGTCAATGTGCTGCTGAAGCACTGGCTGGGGCATGAGGGTGCTTCAGCACAGGGCTAGCTGGCAGGCAGCCAGCGCATTACAGCACCTTCATGCCCCAGCCAGCCAGCTCAGCATCTACACATGCACTACTGCCCTCAAAAAACTCCACAGCAGGCTAGTACTTGTATTTACAAATACTACCTGGCTTCAGAGTTAATAGTTTTGTGTGCCCTAGTAGGGGCACATGTGTAGATACTAAGACATTTACTGTGCAGTTAATTAGTCAACTGCACAGTTCACATCTCATATAGACATGCCCAATGTCTCCTAACCAAACACATGTTCATATGGTTGTTAGAACAGATATTCAACAATAAAACAACACAAATTAAGGATTTAATTTTTAATGGAAGTTAAGCTATGTTCATGCCCAAAAAATGCCTACACATTTACCAGCATCAAAAACAATATTGTCAGTCAGTTATTTATTCAAGATGTCTGTATTACTCCTAGAATATTAATTCTCTTAAAGATATTAATTCTGATTTGGATATAAATGGTTGAGAAAACTATTTTTGGTAGGCTATTTCCAGAAGATATTCAGAAACTGAATATAAAAGATTCATGTGGTTTGATATGCAACAAATTAGTTTGTTAATGTACAACTTTTAACCTCTGCTTTTCTTACTATGATTTTGTGTGCTTTTCTGTCTCTCCAATTTCTGTATTTCATTACATTTTTTTTGTATTTAATAAGACAAACCATAAAACAGCAGCTCTATAAAAACAACTATTCACATCATTTTCTCTAAGTTCTTCCACTTTGGTCTATCATCATGGTATCTGATAGGGCTATGCAAAGCTTCGGTTCACGATTAGATTTGGAGAAGATTCAGCCCGATTCAGAGGCCAAATCTCCAAATCCAAACCTAATCACTTGAAGCTTTAAACTTTCCGAATCGATTCGGAAAAGATTTGGATGAAATTTGGCCATTCAGAAGGCAGTCTTTGAGGGGAAACAGAAACTTAGAAGAGGGAGGGGGAAGGAGTGAAAAGCTTTAGTTGGCCAGTGAGTGTGATTTCTCCCTGAGTCCCCTTCCAATCACAGTGTCTGGGGGAGGGACATAGAAACAGCACAAAAGCCTCTATCTGCAGGCTTTCTGTGCCTTTTGCGAGCTGGTTCTGAGCAACAGCGACAAAAAGGTACTGGACTGGCTTGGCTTCCTAGTCAGTTGCCTGCTCCTTTTTGTTCTTAGAAAGGACTGGATAGGATATAGCTTAGCTTAATTTATTTTAGAATCCCTCTACTTTACTTATCCAATTCATTTCTTTCAATTTATATTTGTTTTCTTTTTTTCTCCAGTACTTCTTAAAGAGACAGCTCAGTGTTTTCCCTGGCAGTGTGATCCATCACTGACTCACACAGCATAGGAGAAGAAAAAGTCATATATTCATAGATGAAGAGTAGATTCAGATTATATATAGTTATTAGTTATTAATATTATTATAGTTAGTTTACATACAGACTAAAGACAACACAGAAAAAGTCAGATAGAGATTCAGATAGAGAAGGAGAAGTCGGTCACACATCACAGGAGAACAACACACACCATATAGTTATTTATAATCAATAATTATCAGCAAGCCACAGTCCACTACACACAACACAAAGCAAACAAAACCCAGAAGAAGTCAGACACGCACACACCTTTTGCAGCACAGGAAAGATCAATATGAAGTGTGCTGGAAAGGCAGGTGCCAGGTCTTCTGGCAGGGTAGGGAGAGGGGCTAGATGGGGTAGAGGGAGAGCTAGAGCTGCAAGCTCCCCTCCCACACCCCCCAGATATAGATGCATCCTCTTCTCGGGCAGCCATGAGGCTCCTGCTGCCAGTGGAAGCAAGGAGGTGGAAGCAGTACCTGATGTCCCTGCACCTGAACCACCTCCCCTAATTCCAGAAATAGGTACCAGCAGCAGAATGACTGTCTCCTCCTTTCAAAATGCAAGAAAGTGGCAGGCTACCTTCCACCGCAGCGTCAAAAGGGGCAAGATGCTGTGGGAGAAACAGGCCAAGCTGAGCATCCCACAGCACAAAATCATGCAGGATGTGGAGACTCGGTGGAACTCCACATACCTGATACTTGACAGGCTGGTGGAGCAACAGAAGGCCATCCATGACATGGACTTCCTTGTGGACATCAGAATCAGCAGTCCCCATAACAGAGCTGAGTGGGGTACCATCTCACAGATCTTGGTGGTCCTCAAGCCCTTCCTCAAGGCCACCGAGATGCTCAGTGATGGCAATGCCCTCCTTAGCCAGGTGATCCCCATAATGAGGGAACTGGAGAACCAAATGGAGAAGTTCCAAGGGATCAATGTTCCTGGCTGGAGCAAGCCATTGTCACCAGACGTGCAGGCACCGGTGAGGTGGCTGACGGAGGGCATCAGGAGATGGCTGGATCCTTTGTGGTCCAGTACAGTCCACATGCTGGCATGCATGTGCAACCCAAAGGTGAAGGGGAGCATGTGCACTGGCTGCACCAAAACCCTCCATCACTGGACGCAGGTGCTGGTCAACAGAGTCAGGGAGGCAGAAGGTGAAGAGGCTTGGGGATGTGGAATAGGGGAATCCACTTTCCCATGCTAGCACTCCCAGCACTAGCCAGGCTCCTC